GTAGCTTTGCGCGAAATTCAAAAACAAACAAACAAACAAACAAACTTTCAATCACCACATTTTGGAAATGTTAAAGTTAACAGAGAAGGAAAAGTTTGATTAATTTATCTTCAATTATTACGTATTTGTGGGAATAAATTCAGACCTAGAATGTTGTTGGTTGAGAAATTATTTACTAAATATTACCGATATTTGTATGAACATGTTCCCAGTGTACGAACTTAGTCTTTTTAAATTGAAATTGCTACTAGGCTGTCATTTTGTGTCATCTCGTTGAGAACCTATTCCCAGTTTGCGAGTTTAGCGTCTGTTAATTGAAAATATTCCTAAGTTGTGGCAAGCCGTATGAATGTTAATTTTTTAAAACAGACTTTTCATGAACATGAAAAGTACATAAGCTGATCCATATTTCCGATTATGTCTGTGATACAGGAGTTCTTCGTGAACAACGCCAAGGTTCTGGAAGAGAGGGACTTTACCGTATCGGATGGTAATCAAAAGCTTTACGTAATCGATGAAGTTCTGGAACCCTATTGGTCTACTGAGTACCTTCCACCAGACGCCTGGGAATTTCTCAACAACCCTAGCTTATACAACATCAAAGAAGACCTGAGGTTTGTGGAGGGCTCACTTTAAATAGTACTAGTTAGTTGAAATATCATTAACACACTATATATATATATATATATATGTGTGTGTGTTTCTGAGTCATATGAGCTGTTTATTTCACACTTTATTAACATAAATAATAAATCGGTAATAGGCGTAATAATGTGATATTTATTATATTGTTAACGCAATAGATATAGGTGCAGTTAGGCTTAACATTGGTTTATTAAACCACTTTGTTCGAAGCTTAATATGTGCACTAAGGTAAAAATAATGCACTATAACATGGTGGAATTGTATTTTCAATTTTGCTAAAAAAACACAAGCTACAAACAAAATATTTTGTGTGTGAAATATCATACCATAAACAGAACAATTTTCTGAACACAATGTGTAAAAACCATAGGAGATTTACACTTTGAGCTACAATCTAAACATAGTTTTATCTAAAGGAAAAATTAACCTAATCTAATTTATCGACAAACAAAGTTATATACACAGACCACTGATATATCAGTCATACAACTGGTTGTATATGATGTTCAAGAAGAACAAATAAAATAAATGGTTTGTAAATTAGGCCTAATGTTAGGCCATATGAAAATATACGTAGATTGGAAAACGATGATGTATTTTGTTTTATCTTAGCGCTATGGCATCACGTGTAAAAGAAGAAGAAGAAAATGGCCTTTTCAGTAGCGTTGGAAATCATACCTACTTTATACCATTAACTCAAGGTAGTGGTGCAGAAGGAAATAGATTTAGAGACGTTGATAAAGCTGTAAGTGTTATAGCTTATGAAGTTATACTAATTAAATTTTTTGAGTAACACAACTCTGGTTACATTCGTAAGACACTCTATTTGTGGAATAATATCTCAAAAAAGTGTAACAATAATTTAGAAAGTACAACAATAATTCCAAAAATGTAACAATAACTCCAAAAAGTGTAACAATAATTCAGAAAGTGTAATAATAATTCAAAAAGTGTCACAATAATTCAGAAAGTGTAACAATAACTCCAAAAAGTGTAACAATAATTCAGAAAGTGTAACAATAACTCCAAAAACGTAACAGTAATTCAGAAAGATGCACCAGTTATTTAGTAACAGTCTAAATGCTAATGTTTCGATATTGTATTTCTTACGTTTTTGTTGAGCCTAGTGCATTGTGGGCTTTGTTTTCTATGGAGTTTTTCTCTGTTTTTGATTTGATTTTAAAAGAACGATTAGGGCTCCATGCTGCATCTGTACTCCAAAATTTAGATTCGTATCTGGAAATTCCACTGCAAAACAAAAAATTAATTTCAGTGACTGAAGACAACTAGTGGACGAATCAAGGAATTATTTTTTTATCTTAGTTTAGGCTTATAGCTAGATTAGTCTATTAGGCTTAACTTACGCACTGTACTTTTGCTGGTTACTATTAGAACTGTTGTTTTATAGTTTAATTATTACTTCATAGCCATCTTTACCGTTTACGATTATTTCCTTACTTAACATTACTCGTTCAGCCGAACATATCTCTTTCATATTACGCTATGCCTGTCGTAATATTGGAAACGTTTTTCATTTACAGGTGTAATAATTCAAGGACTTTTGTTTACTACATAACACTAATTTTCGAGAATCTATCCCTAACGTTAATCAATGTTTATCACAAACTAAACATATGGTAAAATGCTTATAATGTACGTTTTAATCACCTCGCCTGAAGTTGAACAATGATTTTTGACTAAATTGTTCGTAAAGCTTTTTCATATTAAAATAATTCAGTATTTGTCTACCAAAACCGACCTTAAATGTATGCTATATATATCTTAATGACTAATCGTATATAACACATTATGATATTTTGTTGAAGTGTTAGACATATTTATCTGAAGTCAAGCAACCACAATTATCCAAAACAACTGAAAAGTGCTTAAATAGAACAGTTTATATCAAGTACGAAACTGGAGTCATTGCCACAAAGAAAGTTAAATAATTTTTCAACAAATATTACAGATATCGGTGTAAACATGTTTTCTAGTCTGTGAGCTTGGTGTTCTGTTATTTATATCGGTGTAAACATGTCTCCTAGTCTGTGAGCATGGTGTGCTATCATTTATATCGGTATTGTAAACATGTTTACTAGTTTGTGAGCTTGGTGTTTTATTATTTTTATCGGTGTAAAGATGTTTCTAAGTCTGTGAGTTTGGTGTTCTGTAACTGATAACGGTGTGGACATGTTTCTAAGTCTGTGAGCTTGGTGTTCTGTAACTGATAACGGTGTAGACATGTTTCTAAGTCTGTGAGCTTGGTGTTCTGTAACTGATAACGGTGTGGACATGTTTCTAAGTCTGTGAGCTTGGTGTTCTGTAACTGATAACGGTGTGGACATGTTTCCCAGTTGGGCGAGTTTGGTGTTCCTACATTTTAATATTTTAATGTGAGAATTTTTTCAGTTTTTGAGTTTGATGTAAAAAATGTCACCAATATCAAAGCAAATATGATTTTTACTTATTAGTCTCATGTCAGAAGATACACGTGCACTTTTTTAAAAACAAATCGTTCCAACCTTCAGGTGATCAAAGGTCACGTGATCCCGCAACACGTATTGTTCACTAGAACAGCAGGAAACGAGGCCTACAAGTCCAACAATCCAAAAGTGGAAATCAACCTGGTTAGCCAGACCACAGCTTCGACCCATACAAGTACATATATATTTTCTATTGACTTAATACAGAATGTGAATATTCAATTTATTTTCATTCAAAAGAAAAAAAATTGTCTCTTGTACTTCATTACTTCATACTTTTGTATCGGATAAAAAGGAATTTCATATAGATCAACAAATAGTGTTTTTATTTTTGATTTAACCACTGAAGTAAAATAAACTACGTTTTCTCCTCATCCTTATATTTTACGTGTCAAAGTTTTCAACTTATGCAAGCCAAATATTTAAAAAATTTTCTAGTGTTTGTTCGAAGCAACACTCTTCAAGACCACCTGGGTCATCGAAAAGGAGTGGTCTTATCACAAATTGTAAGAGCTAATATACCAGTAAAGAATGGAGTGGTCCATCTGATTCAGCATCCTCTTATGATCATTGATATTAGCATCTGGGATTTCATTGAAACCGAATCTGAAGGGAAACTCTCGTAAGTACATCATAGAGATCCATTCTGTTTGTGGAGATAGTAGGATAACTTTTGGTTATAATATGTTCATGTTTTTCTTATCTGTTAATCCACGAATGGATAAACGATCAAAATAAAAATTCTGAGACGAAAGTTAATTATTTTAACACTGACGGCCACAAGTGATCTGGGACTGAGTGTTACAGGTATAAAAAAAAAGAGTTTTGAAATGGAAAGCATTAAAATTAATGTAAACTTAACACGCTTGCTCTTTAGTGTGTCATTTTCATCTCTTATTTCACAATGTACTAGTGTCCTACCATAGGATTTTCTCAAAGTTTTGTAACCATCGGTTACTGAGGAACAGTTTTGTAGGGCTTTTTTTAAAACTTTCTATACAGCATTTGATAGTTTTTGCAAGGGACTTTCCACATTCTATTTTCTATAGAAACACGTATTTCCTACTGCGTATAAATGTGAGTAAATAGAGTTAAAATTACCTATTCTTTATGCTTCAATGAAACCTATATATATATAGGTTGAAACTCAACATACATATCTGGGTGTTTTCAATGGAGTGTCGTGTGTTCTGAGATGATACACTACAGCAGCTCTTATGATGTAACTTGTAGACATTTTTTCCTTTGACATACCAATAACAGTAGATTAACTAATTAAGATGAACTGAGTTAGGTTTTGATGTGTTTCAGAGAGTATATGAAGCTCGTTCAGGAGGCATCGGCCGATTTTCAGTACGAGCTGCAAAATTCAGGAGAAAAGACAGTGTTTGCACCCACCAATGAAGCGATATTGCGACTGGCCCCAGAAAAACTGGCAAACCTGAAAAAAAATACAACTGAACTCACAAAGGTTTGTTACTATTTTGAGAATGAAGTAACGGTTGTTTCTTGTTAAGTTTGTTTGTTTGTAATTAAGCACAAAGCTACACAATGGGCTATCTGTGCTCTGCCCACCACGGGTATCGAAACCCGGATTCTAGCGTTGTAAGTCCGCAGACATACCGCTGTGCCACTGGAGGGGCTTCTTGTTAAGTACAAAGCTATATAATTGGTTATCTTTGCTCTACCAATAGCAGGTATATAAACCCGAATTTTAGCGTTAAACTCTCCCAGGGGACTTACCGCTAAGTCACGTGGGAGAGTGTAGCAGTTAAACACCAATGTATTTTGTGATTCCAAATTAACAGTGTAAGTGTACACTCAGTGTTATTTTAAATAATTGTAAAAGTTGAGAGGAAGATATATCTGTTTTTTTTTATGAATTTCGCGCAAGGATACTTGAGAGCTATCTGCGCTAGCCGTCCCCAATTCTGAAGTGATAGGTTAGAGATAAGGCAGCTGGTCAACACAACCCACCGCTAGCTCTTGGGTTACTCTTTACCAACGAATAGTGGAATTGACCTTTACATTATAACGCCCCCAAGGCTGAAAGGGCAAACATGCTTCGTGATGGGATTTGAACCAGCGACCCGCAGATTGCGAGACGAACTCCCTAACCACCTGGCCATGTCGGGCCGTATCTTTAAGTGTGGCATTCGTCTTGAACATTCGAGGTAACATCATAAAAAAAATGAGTTAACTGATGTATAAAAGTCCCTGTAATTAAACGATATTTAATAATATACGTATATTTTGGAATATTACTCAAACAATCTGACGTCTGTATTGAATCTTTGGATTAAGATAATAGAAAGTATAGTAACAAAAAAAAATAGCTACAGTTAGTTGAACTTACTTAGTTCCCTGGTAAGGATCAAACTTAGCACTAGCTCTGTCTCCAACTTGTTAAACCTAACTTATATTATTATAAACAACGTATTGAAGTTGTAACAAAATATCCACATAAATCATTACTCATGGTCTAATCTGTGTCTTTACTTGCAATCAGTGACCAAAAATATGGCTAAGGATTTTATGAGGTCAAAGCTCAGACAACCAAAAAATGTATGTTTTGGCCTCCTGTAGGGTCATATTTACAGCAATCAAACTGAAAGTTGGCTCAAATATAAATTTTAATGCGCCCAACACATTGAAATACAAAAAAAACAACAAAAAACTGGATCTGCCTATTTTACGTCTTTTTAAGGGGGTCAGAGCTTACAAAGAAAGGATTATTTTGGGGTTTTTGGTCAATTACTCGGCCATATTTTGACTAATTTACATATGATTTGACACTTTTCAACAGGTTCTACACATGGACAAACAAAAATAGTGGACTTTCCCATTTTGAGTATTTATAGGGGGTCAAGATGCCACAAAAAGCATAATTTTGAAGGTTTTGGTCCATTTCTTGACCATATTTTGAGCAGTTTACGTGGGATTTAGTACAAAGATACTCTTTTCAGGTTCCAAATGAAGGTATAGACAATTTTGGATTTTTTGTCTTTTGCTTAATTTTTTAGTTGGGAAGCACAATTTTAGGTTTTCATGAACTGTTCATGTGTATGTCAACCAACTTACATGGGATTTGGTAAACAGATACTTTCTTGCTCCCCGGGGAGCACAAATGATCTCTTGGGACGGGGGCGAGCGATTAGGGTAGAGTCAATAGTACAATAATGGAAAATGAGCGATTTAATATTTAATTAGTAATGAAAGTAATAAGTAATTACTACAATCAAGGGCGGATTAAGAGTCAGTCAAGCCTGGGGCTAAATGTTTCTACAAGGCCTATTATGATCGCGACTACAGACTATGATAAAACACAAAAACAAAAACAACATAAACTTAACCTCATAACGGGCCTTTAGCCCGGGTCGGGGGGCTACAGCCCAAATAGTCTCTGCCTTACTCCACCTTTGACTGCAACACATATAGCATTTTAATGTGTGAACGTGTAATATATCTCGTCACTTAACTCACTCTTTGACTCATTTAAAAAAGAGAAGGCGCTTAGAAAACCATACCTATTAAAGGGGGCGTGGATGACAAAAGTCTGGGAAACGCTGCAATACGTCATAAAACAAAAACGCAAAGGATTTTAGATAGCATTTTGGAAGAAAAGTAGCAATTTAAAACTAACCCTTTACAGACTTATAATCATCGAACGATTGAAACTGTTTTATATACGAATGGTTTTGTTTTCCAGCTTCTCTGGCTCCATATGGTTAAGAAGTCTGTATCTACAGATGACGCATGGCATGGACGGATATATGAAACAGTTACTGCTGACAAACAACGCAGTATGTATTTCCGTGCTGTTGGGGACCGAAAAAACAAAAGTAAGTTTTATTTCTGTGACTTACTTCTAAATGTTTTCCGTTTTTTCCTTTCAAAATGCAGATTTAAATCACATATCTAGAGTGCACCGTTAGTAGTGCCATCTAGGAATGGAGAACATAACTCAAACATCGGTAGGAAAATCTGTTCTTTAAAAGTTTCGTAGTGATAATATCTTAGCGAGCTTATTAAGTAGCAATAAGACAAAGTCAAAGTTGGTTTGGTATTCGAACAGATTATATTACTTATTAAATTACAGAATATTCATAGTATGCGCCCTAGGTACACCAACGAGAAAAAGACAAACTTAAAAACAACTAAATAAATAAATAATATATTCCACGTGAGATATGAAAGTGTGTACACAACTGGATGAGGTTGGGTATATCTACTACCGACCACAAGATGATAGGGACTTTCAAATATGAGAAAAGGAAGTTTGGCAGATGGTCTTTATGGTTGTTACAAGTTTTTCAATGCAGTTTGAAGTTTTTGAAGTTTCATTTTATTTTTGATTTTTCGTTTCAGTGCCACAATCAGTAGACATCTTTACTTTGTACAGTTTTCTTTTCTAATTAATTGGTATAGTATTCCGTATTAATTCACGTTGTGTATTATTTTGTTTGTCTTTCGGTGAGACCATCCCACGGTTTTGGAGCTAACGGGCCTAAACTTGGCAGCGGAACTGGTGTGCTCTTTGAGGTGTACTTATCTATATCACATGTCGCCCCTATCTATTTCTATTCTCTGCAGCGTGATAAAGTAGATACTTTTTGGCCATTATGTAATAAGCTAGTGTGATTGAGTGTGTAATTATGTAGAAATATCATTAGCATTCAGTGATCAAGCGCATCATTATACTTAGTGTAAGAAAGGTGTGATATATGATATTGGAAAACCAAAATGTATCTCTTGGTCAGAGTACAGCATTTGATCGAGTTCTTCATGACCTTTTTTCTTATATATATTATAGGCAACTAAATTTCACAATTTTGAAGGTATTGATGTTTATCTGTAAATAATGTTATATCCATAATCAATTATAGACTTATAAACAATGTTATACCTATAACCAATATTAGAATTATAAACAATGTTATACCTATAATCAATATTAGACTTATAAACAGTGCTATATCTGCAAAGAATACTAAAACATTTGAAATTAATAAAGCTAAATAATTTTTCTACTCGAAGTAAAGTACCAAAGCAACAACATTTAACTCAGTAACTACTCATAAATTACTAACTTTCTCCCCATTGTTGCCTTTTCAGATGCATAATCATAAAATTTTAATAACGATTCCAACAACAGAGCCAACCAGTGATGACTAAAATATGATTTCTTCTTGAAATATAATACCGTTTTGGATTAAACCACAATTTCCAAACAGCACCTGCCTCCTAAGAATTTAGTGTTGAATAATGCCAAAATGATAAATATCTACTCCTTTTATTCGAGTTGGATTCGAATGAAGCTCTTGAAACATCTCTGACACCATCTGTGAAAATAAAATGGAGAAAAGGTCAAATTTATATATCTATGTACACATGTAAAAATTTGAACAAATTTATCTTGCATCACATGGTTGAGCTCAATAAATAGTGATGTTAATATGGTTATAAAGACCAGTAAAATATAGTTATATCATCCCAAACTCTGAATATTCAATGTGGTTTGCTAAAGTTTTCTTTCACAAAAATGTTACGTGGTATGTGGAAGAAATGTTTCTTACATTAATAGCTACAATTAAGTACTTAGAAAGTTTTCAAAGTAAAACAGAAGAAGCACTTGATTGTGTTTAATTATTTAGATTATACAAAATTATAAACATAAAATGTGTGACTTTAATGTAGTAAACTTGACATGATAAAGCAAAGTTAATGCTCTAGTTTTCTCAATTACTTTCCATTTAAAGTATTAATATTATAGTTATGGATTTTGGTTTAACATACTCTTTAAGGTTTGTTGATGGTCATTTGTGATAGCTAGACTCACACATATATCCCTTCTTAGAAATTATGTTAACTTATGTTTTATTAGTTCAATATTTTCAAGAGAAATAGGCAGTTATGAAAAATTAAACTTATTTTAAAAAGTAATTATGTGTTATACTATTTAAAACAAATATTGGTATTCACGATGTCTGAAATTTTGTTTCCTAATATGACAAGGCCATATAATTAAGTTTTCTGTGGTATATCTTTTGAAAGTAGAAATTAAAAATATTTTTTCTCAAAGAGGATATACCAGCTTAATTGATATATAACACTAATATTATTCTGTTTTTATTACCACACGTATTTTTGTGGGGAAATAATATAAAGGAAAACTACTACTTAGCAGTGAGTTCAGTTTAAACATATGTTATTTCCATATTTAATAATAGTTTCATTTCCGTTCGCTAGATGGGAGCACAAAATGTTCATACATAACGACATTTTGGGATATTTCATTGCATAAACATGATATCAGACAAAACAATTTCGGTAAAAATAAATATATATATATAAAATTTTCTACATTAATATTAAAGATATCAAGAAGTTCAAGTATTTATGGAACTGACAGAGCTGTGTACACGTTATTGATGTCTGAGTTTGACAACACCAGTATCTTAATTGTCAAAACAATACATTATATAGCGGTCTTCTTTCTTTTATATCTTCAGTGGGGCCGAGCCTGGAGCTGTATGTGTATGCGTGGTATCATACTTCATGGTCTGGGATACGTATGATGTCCTCCCCATTAATCCTCTGACCCTGGCATGGGGTTATGATTGTATGCACATACAGTAACCCGGAGTGAAGTTGGAAAGCGTGGGTTCTGAAAATCACCCCTTAACGTTGGTCCACTGCTCCGGGGTACTTGTACCGTCCAGGAGGAACCATTCCATCTTCACTGGCCTCCAATGTAATCTAAAAATAGAATAAAAATGTGTTTCCAATCATTTGAAGTATTTATTGCACATACAAAAATAAAGATATGTTTGCTTAAAATTCGTATTTTAGAGATTTGTTTATCTGTCAATAGATTGCGTGCACTTCATTTCTTTTATTAAAACAACATATTATTTTCTGCTAATTAAAGTGTAGTAAGTGGATTTATCTTTAAACTAAAAATAGAATTAAAATATTCATTTCGATCATTAGAAATATTAGTTGCACATACAAAAACAGCAAGATAAGTTTGGTTAAAATTCTTATTTTAAGATTTTCTTTACTTGTCAATAAGTGACGCACCCTTCATTTATGTCATTAAAAATCTATTATTTCCTGCCTAATTTTTCCAAAACCATTATTATTATGAGTAACTCTTCTGTAAGTTTGTAATAAGTGACACACATATATCAAGTAAAATCTCTGAGAATTTTCAGTCCAAACTACTGTGATGTCAATGTGTCATTTTGGTTATTAATTAAGGTGCAGTATTAAATCAAGTTTTTTAAATGGCATATATTGAAATTGTAAGAAATGTATTGCATTATAGTAGATACAATTATAAAGGAATTATAAAACATACCATCAAGGAAAAGAGGAACAAGTTTATGACAGTTAGAAATGAGTAACTTCCTCACTCCAATTTTATATTTCGTTTTTAAAAATCCATTGTTTTATATCTTATTAATTCAGTAAATATAATACCAATTTTAATTTGGGAATGTAATGTACTCGACATTTGTTTTGTTTACTTTTAGTATTATTTGATCACATTTTGTAATTTTCCCTGACTAGCATAGCTACTCTATCATGTAACTTTGCAATATATTCACAGTGATCGTGTTATACATAGTACTTGTATGTTATCCATTAATAATAAAAAGGTTATTTTACAAAGAAAAATTAGCCAGAATTTAAATTTCTATTGAGACCCGAATTGTTTGAATAAAATTTCCTATGACGATACTGATTTCATGTATGTTCTATTATAGAAATGTATCTGTAAGGTTAAGTAGTTAATGAAATATCCCATAATGGGATTTAATGAGCAATTTGACTTTCAGTAAACATGCACATTAAAATATAGGTGGACTTCATCAGTAGAATATGTTGACAAAAAATAACTCGAGATGAAGTTTTGCACTGTTTGAGCAGGATGTGAATGCATAAGGAAAAAGTATGAAGTTGCACGTATCACTCTGCAGTAGAGTTTTAGTGAATCACTCAGAATGAAACCTATGTTCCCGCTAACCTCTTCTCTGACATACCCATGAAATCGTGCATACCCACGAAGCTCCGTGAATTTAGTTTGTTTAAATGTGATGCTAACATTTGTGTACAGTGGAGGGTCTATGAAAAGTTTGTTCAGATGTGTGGTATAATATTTATTTTGTCGTTTTTTACATAAGTTTATTACAATGGAAACTGCTGCGTCGATCGACACCAAGACATGACGTAATGCAAAAAAATACTTTCAGGGTCAGCTCGGGAGATGAAACATCACTCTTATAGAGTGAGAGTACCCTCATAAATTTGTCTGCTTACAGAATTTCGCGCAAAGTTACTCAAGGGACTATGGGTGCTAACTGTCTATAACTTAAAAGTGATAGACTAGATGAAAGGCAGATAGTCAACACAAACCACCACCAACTTTTGGGCTAACTTTTACCAAGGAAAAATGAGTTTGACCAAGACATTATAATGGTGAAAGGAAGAGTATGTTCGATGACGGGACTCGGACATACGACCCACAGATTGCAAGGCGAGCACTCTTACCCAAGCCATGTTCCCTCTTAAGTTAAAATGTGTCTGTTCTGTGGCTATATACAACAGTCCGAGGGGCACGTGAATAGAATG